CAGGCCCTGCTCGTGGGCACCGTGTGGTCCGGCATCTGCACAGATTCCTTGGCTGTCCCAGAGGGCGTTCCTGTCTTTTCATGCCTGGTTTCACCCTCTGCAGGGCCCCAGCAGAGAGCATCACCACAGAGCACTTAAAAGATAAAAACTTTCATTTTCAAAGAAATGATTCCTCTTATTATTGGGAACTGAATTTATAGATCAAATTCTGTCTTCGGTGACTTCAAGGATCTGCTTAAATTCCAGCTTTAAAGTGGAATTTTGAGATACCAAATACTGTGTGACAGAAATTGAAGTTACTAGGGATTTGGAAACTCTCTTGCTGCTGGAAATTCTGGTTACAACTTTATTTGTGGTAGGAAACCTATATAACCTCGGTCCTGTTCAGGCTTTCCAAATTGTAAAAAAGGATAATGATAATTTATTGTAGATTTTTTAAAAAGGCTTATGTTGTCGCTCTTTGAAAACTTTCCAGATAGTTTACATTTCTTACTAACCTGACTGGTTACATGGGAGCTGTGTAGCCTGGGGTGTGGGGTCTGCGTTCACAGGCCTCCCTCCCCTCACAGGTAGGGATGGGTCTGAACTTGACAGATGCGGTCAACGAGCTGGCACCTTGCAGCTAGTTGAGGGGACCAGCGATCCTTCCTGCTTCCAGCCCTCCCCTGGGCATTAGGCGTCTGTCTCATAAGACACATGCATGCTCTGCCCAGAGGATGTAACTTTGTGCCTCAAACATTTCCATTTGCTCAGTTGCTGGGGAGCTCAAGAGACCAGTAGTCATCTACTCTCTCGTCACTGCATGCAGAGCAGCTTTGAGACTTTCTCTCCATTTCCCCTCTGTAAAATGAGAATCAAGCCAGGTAAGGCGATGGTTCAGGCCCCGTGGGCTCTTAGGTGCGGTTACTCCATCGTAAGGAAAGCGGCAGCACAGGCTGTTGGTTTAAATCCCGGCTCCCCACTCCCCACCGTGGGAGCTTGGGCACACTGCTGGACCTCTCCAACGCTGTTTCCTCATCTGTAAAATGGGGCCGATAACACCTCCTCCTTGAGTGTGGATGATGGAGGTGGTGGTACACATGCCAGCCCTGACATGGTCCAAAGCAGGCGCGTCACGCCTAGTTTCACTATTACTGTTGGCATAGTGTGGATCTTTTAAACCATTTCAATTATCTTTGTTTAAAGCTGCCCCACACCTCAAAATCCACAGTGGAATGCAGTAGAAAAGCCTTTTAACTTTCAACTTAAAAGGCACCCGTAGCATATCCCTTACATTTTTGCCCAACCCGAGGACCCCAGTTTGGTCCTCAGGTCTCTCTGTGAGGAGCCCTCGTTTGGGCAGCCTGGATGGACCCAGCGGGAACCATCCCCTCCAAGCTAGCAGCCGAAATGGCTTGTCTGTCTGCTTTTAGTGTTGTTCCTTAACGTGATGTTGTCTCTTCTTACAAGCCTCTAAAACTCCCCTGCCGCCGCTGCCTGCATACATTAGCTCTAATGTATTCTCTCTTGAATGCTCATCATATTAAGGCTCCCCGGTAGATACCTTGCTCGAAATAAATTTTATGGGCACACATCCTCTCCCTCATCCCATGCATTTGTGGCTGGGAGGAGCAATACAGCTGCCTCTTTCCTCGGAGGGCAGGCCAAACAGCGATTAGGTAGGAATCGGCGCCCTTGTTGCCCAGGTGCCGAGGGAGGTGCGGGGAGTCTGGATAGCCCAGGGATGGCCCAGGCCAGCAGCGACCTTCTCCATCCAGGTTCTCAGAGGGTTAATCGGCCTCCCCTGTGGCCGATGTCTGGCTGGCTCCTGGAAATCCAGCCCTTTACTCTCACAAAGAAGCCCCTGCCTGGACGCTGGAGCTGCAGTTGTCACCCGGAACCAAGTCCTGAATGGCTGTGCCCAGCAGAAGCCAGCAGTGGCTCAGCGGGCACCCTGCACTGCACACATGGGACACAGTCATATGTTCCTACCGGCTCTGCACCCTTCTTTGTCCTTAAGCCACCTTCCTGAGCTGGGAGGCCTTCCTGGTCAGGTCTTCCTTTCCATCCCCTGCAAGATGGTGCCAGAGCAATCTTCCTCGATGCCTTCTTTCTGCTGCTCAGCGGCCTACAATGGCTCTAAATGCAGCACATGCAGAGAGACCTGCACCCCCTCGTCCTTTATGACCCTCTTGGCCTGAGTTGTCCCCCATTCTCCCCTCTCTGAAGCTGGGCATGTCACCGCGGGAGCTCCTGGCTGTCCACCCCTCATAGACTGGCCAGCTCATAAGTCACCTCTCCACCAAAACCTTCTCCAGCCATGCCAGCCAGTCCTTGAGGGCGGCCGGGGCTGGCTGCATGTGCATCTGCATGAGGTGGGCAGTCCCCAAGCCTCCGCCGGAGAGCCAAGCCATCTATGCAGGGACTCTTGTGAGAGTTCAGTTAGATAAAGACCATGAACATGGTGCCTAACTTTACTTTCCACGGTTACTACAGTTATCTCATCTCCTAGTGATAGTGAATCCTTACTGATTACCTACTGTATACTGGGCCTCGTTCTCAGAATTTTAGGTGTATTGATTCATTTGCTCTTCACAACAATCCTACCAGGCACTATTGTCTTCATCACCCCACTTTTGTAGGTGGGGAAACTGAGGCAGAGAGCAGCTAAATGACTGTGTGAAAAGCAGAGCCAGGACAGACTCGTGCAGTCTGGCCCCAGAATCCACACTCTCTCCCTGTGTCTCGCCTAATTCCCCCATGAGTTGGCAATTCCTGTAGCTGTCATGTGCTTAGTGCTTTGCTGGCGTATCGGAAGTCCTTGGGAAGTACTTAATGGTTGAACAGTTTATTTCTTAAGGAGGAAAACTTTTGAGGTAGAAAAAAAGAATCACATATGTACTGGGACAATTAGCAAGTGTCTGGGCCTATGTGTGTCTACCTCAGTGTGGTCCTGGTAGTTTTCGTTGTGTATTTTGGTCTGAGAAAGGGGTCAAAAGGCAGGGCATCCAACAGGTCTGACTTTCCCACAGATGCTGGCGCTGGAGCCATGAAGGGAACAGGCTGGGGTCGGGGTTGGCACATATGTGTACAGGGCTAGTGATGGCATTTCATGAATGTCCCCATAGCCTATCTATAAATTTTAAGTGCAAATGTCTTAATACTTGAGGAATCTTTCTCTCAAGTATTTACAATTTTTTTAGTGCTTCGGATGTGTTTAAAATTTTTCTTAGTGCTTTTAGGCTAATTCCCTTAAGTTAACACTTTTTTTTTTTAAGAGATGGGGTCTCACTCTGTCACCCAGGCTGGAGTGCAGGGGCACAATCATAGCTCACTGCCGCCTTGAAGGCCAGAGCTCAGGTTATCCTTCTCCAGCTAATTTAAAAAAAAAATTTGTAGAAATGGGGTCTTACTTTGTTGTCCAGGCTGGGGTCACTCTCCTGGCCTCAAATAATCTTCCTGCCTCAGCCTCCCAAAGTGCTAGGATTAAAGGCATGAGCCACCGCGCCCGGCCAATTTGATCAATCATTACTCAGTGGTAAACTTCTGTGCAGTTACCCTTGTGTGCCAGGCGTCGTGCTATGCATGCAAAGCCGAGAAAGAAACACTGTTCCTGCCTCTTGAGGATCCCACCTTCTAATGGGAAAGACGATGTATAGACAAACAAGTAGCAAAAGTGCTATTCATAGTAGAGGTGAGAAACCCTGGAGTTGCAAGCCTCATGCGTGCTATTCCAGGAGGATACTATAGGAGGCCAAATGCATGCACTTGTATATTTTTGTTCTTAATGTTTGTTAATTTGTTACCTTCCTTTATTTTTATTTTAGTTTAGTTTAGTTTAGTTTAGTTTTTGGAAAAATACAGGGGAAAATGGCTAGAGATGCTAGCACTATTTGTTCATCTGACCAAGGAAGCCTGATTATTTTGTTTTGTAGATTTTGAAACATTCAGTGACTCAAAATACTATCAGATGCCCAAACAACCCTCCAGTAAAGATGAGGGGGCAGCGAAACAGACCTTGGATAGGAAATCACTCAGGACAGGAACGGGATGGGGCAGTGGTTAGTGTTCAGTTGCAGACAACAAAATCCACTTTCACTATTTAAGTAAAAAGTGATTAATCGCCAGGTATTAAGTGGCTTTCAGCTCAGCTGGGTGGAGCTTCCAGAAATAACTCTCAGTCCCCAGAATTTCATTGCTTCTGCTGTGATTGATCAGGACGTTATAAACAGCACCCCTCGTAGCCCCAGCCATGATCCACGCCAGCGCAGTGGGAGCCTGCCCCTCGGCTGTCCCTACACTGAACTCGGTTCTGAATTCAGGTCTCTCCTAAGCACATCTGAGTGGCAGACTCCAAATCCTATGTGGAGCCCGAGCTGCAGGGAGTCCGAAAAGCAGTTTCTAGCTTTCCTGCGTGCAGTACAGGAAGGCACATCAGGACTGGGTATTGATCGAACCAATCCATGGTGTCTGTTGCAGTTCATCAAAATATTGAGATTTTCTCTCCAAGAGCACCCTCAGGCCTGGACCTCCGTCACTGCCCACCCCTCATGCATATCATTTGCTTTTCAGGTCAGACGCCTAGACAGGGCTCACTTTGGAGGCTGCTGTTTTTAGCACAGCTTCCAATCACCAGTGAACGTGCCATGCAAACAGAGGTGAATGTTGTTGGGCCTTCCTGACTTCTTAGCTGTGGAACTGTAGTTGGCATAAATGGGGTTACCTGATGCTAAAAGCGTGTGGTGCTCTTAGTAACAGGTGATCCCTCTGGGCCAAAGTCACCTCAAGCCAGAATACACAGCCTGACCATCAGGGCAAGGGTTGACTTTCAATCCCTACCTGCCCCCTTGACCAGGCATGTTTGTGCAGTGTACAACTGCACAACTGTATGCGACAGCACTGGGGGTTTGGGTCATGTCTGTTCCACCCCAGCAGAATGGGAAGACATCCACGTAGGACCTGCCTGGTTCGCCGGGCTGCAGGGAAGGCTCACGAACTGGCTCTCTCTCCTCTCCCTGCAGAGATCCCCCAGTGCGCTGGCTGCAACCAGCATATCCTGGACAAGTTCATCCTGAAGGTCCTGGACAGACACTGGCACAGCTCCTGCCTCAAGTGTGCAGACTGCCAGATGCAGCTGGCCGACAGGTGCTTCTCCAGGGCCGGGAGCGTCTACTGCAAAGAGGACTTCTTCAAGTAAGTCAGAGCCACGGTCTCAGCCCCGCTCTCCTTCCCTAGCCCATCTCTGCCTCTCCCTATGCAGGGAGGGGGATCTCTGTAGTGAGGTGGGCTGGGGAGGCTGGAGGGTCCACCCTGGGTGGAGCAGGTGAATCCCGGTGATGAGAGGATGCCCCTCACTGAGGTCCCCTTCCGGTCACCGGCCCCATCACTGCCTGAGGCCCAGTGTCTCAGCTCTGCAAATGGGGAAGGGTGAGGAGCGGGTGGAGAGCTTGGGCCAGATTTCTCCAGGGTGGCTGACAAAGGATCTCTGCAAGTCCTAAAAGGAGCTGCTCTTTCTGTCTTGATGCATTGGTGCCTCAGGGCACTTGGTTGTAACGTTCCCAGGACAGTCAGAGCAGGTGCTTTTCGGTTCATGGCCCACATCTGAGTCTTCGTGGCTGTGTTTTCCCAACCTGCTTCAAGGGCCTCAGAGGCTTGGAAGAGTTGTTCCTGGGCGGAGTCAAGCCAGGCTTGGTCAGCGTCGTCACTCTAACTGGAAACATGATGAAAAGGCAGTTTCTTATAAGGGTTAAGAGTCCAGACCCTGCCTGGGTTTGAGCCCACTCATTGGCTGTTTGGTCTTGGGCAAGTTACTTAACATCTCTGTGCCTCAGTTTATCTGTAAAATGGGCTGATGATGATAATCCCTACCTCAAGGGATTGTTGTCAGCTTTAAACAAGTCAATCTGTGTAAAATTCCTAGAACAGCGCCTGATGCCTGGGTGTTAGCTCTGAGACTGTCCTGGATTGTTCATTCTGGGGTTGGATCCATCAGAAAAATCCTGTTGGAGCTTTGGGTTGGGGGGGGGGAACTTCCTAGACTTTATTTTCTGTGGCATTTAGTCTGGGACTTCTCTCTCAGAATCTGTTAGCCAAGGCCCTTGGGCTTGGTGCCTCAGCTGACATGGACCAGCCGGAAGCCAGCAGAGCCCAGAACAGGAGGTGGGATCAGCGGCCAGTGACAGTGAGCCGGTGCTCAGTCACAGCAGCCCCGGTGGCGGGGTGCTGGGAGGTGTGTCTGGGGCCTGGAGACATTCAGCGGGAATAACCAGGCCCCGCGGAGGCCATGCACAGCCTCCTGCACGTGCATATTCTGGAGACAAAAGAAGTGGGGACCGTGAGTCCGGGACGTAGAACACTATTTCTCCCAAATCCTCCCGCAGGCTTAGCTGTGGGGAATAAGCGATGCGAGTTTCAGAGGACTCTCAGATTGCTTTCGTGCGATCTGAGCCGAAGAGCACATTAAAGAAGATCTTGCTAACTACTGGGGCTGCCTCCCTGCTGCGTTCAGAGGCTGCACGTTGTCCCCATCACGCTTCGGTCAAGGATGAGCCGCTCCCCACTGTTGCGTGCGTGCGTCGTGCGTGAGCGTGAGCACGTCTGCGTGTGCTGCGGGAGGGCGGGGCAGCAGCCAGCACAGGCGCACCCAGCAAGTTCAAATGCAAGGACGGGGCCTTGGTTCTGGCTCTGAGCGCTGTGTACTGCTCCCCGTTCTTCCAATCTTCATTTCGCTTTCCCACCTCTGACCTTCATCTGGTTTCCCTTCTCCTGGCACGTACGCAGTCCGGGTTCCTCCAGCACATCCTTTCTCAGTGGCAACGAGAGTCTGCCGCCACCTTCCTCCCTCGGTGATGTCCTGGCCAGGCACCGCGGCGGCTCCCACGGGCCCCTGGATGGGGTGAATTGCACTGTTTGTGTGTACACACGCGCGTGTGCACTGTGGGCTGTGCACGTGCGAACACAGACGTGTGTAAGGAGGGCAGGAGGCAGCAGGTGGGAGGGCCTGGCCTTGGGGGCTGGGTGAGCCGCCCTGCTTCTGTGATCAGGAGGGCACCATCCTCCGGTTTGTCCCTGCACCTCTGGAGAGCCACGGTGAGCTCCAGGGACGAGGCGAGTGGCCATGCTGCCTGCTTGCCCATCTAGGGACAGAGTAAGTGCTGAGATGTCCCTGGGTCAGACCTCAGGGCCCATAGGGTTTCTGGCTGGCCCAGCCTGGCACGTCGGGGCAGCTGTGGGAGGGCCACAGACCCAGGGCTTTGTTGCCAGAGAGCCCCTGACACCCCAGCAGTGCCTCAGGGCCATGTCTGATTTGTGGCCCCTGACTGACTGGCTCCGGGTTTGGGAAAGGGAGGAGTGGAGAGGGAGGTGGCAGCAGCGCTGGTGCAGGGGTGACTTCGGGAGAAGCAATGATAAGGAAAGAGTGTCTCCCTAGACCCAGGAGGGGCCTGGAGCACAGGCTGAGGGGGCATCACCACAGGCCCAGGAGCCATAAGCCCAAGACCAGAAATAACAGTAACAGCTGCTCACCCAGGCTCGGGCCCCTGAGCCCTGCCTCCGTGGCCTCCCCACACCACCGTCCCCACGTTGTGGCCCTTGTTTGGATTCTTTCAAGGTCTTGCTCTGCAGAAACCTGTCTGGTTTTCCACTCACCTTCCTGTCGCCTGCATGCCTTCCTGCCAATGAGCCAGCCTGCCCACAGGCCTGGTGCTGCCCACCCCGGCTCCTTCAGCAGGGCCCCCTCCACCCACAGAACTTAACAGATGCATCGGCACCATCCGAGCCTCCTGCCTGTGCTTCCTCCCGACGCCCACCAAAGAGGGTGCGCTTTCCCCAGGCCTGCCTTGCATCTTCCCGCCTCCACTGCCTGGCCCTGCCACTCCATCCTGCAGGAGGATGCCACCCTGCCAAAGCCACCCGTCCTCCATGGCCACTCAGAGTCCTGCTCCTCACGGGTGGGAGCCCTGGCCGCGGCATCGCCGCCTCTGCCTTCTCTCTCCCAGTGACTCAGCACGAGCCGCTGTTCTGCTCGTTTCTCGAGCACCTGTTTCATCTTCCTCATGGGCCTATATGTGGGAAAGGGCCTATATGTGTTATTCACTTTTTTGTCTCCCAAGTAAGGACCTGGCCCTGAGCCTTGCCCATTGGTTTGTCCTAGGTTGGATACAACGAATAATTACACAACGAATTTACAAGAGCTTTGGTGACAGTTTCTCCTGTACCTTGCATTGGCGTCTTGCAAGTCGGGGAGGCCAGGCTGCCTCGGAAATGCACAGGTCGTTGTTTAGCCACAATTGTTCCCCTTGCTCCTGGGCGCTGCTCTGCTTCCTAACGCGACCACTCTGGGATGGGTCCCTCTGTGCGGCAGGGAGCTGGCCACGGAGTCGGTGCTGAATCCAGGCGGTTAACGCTGTGATGGGACACTGCGTGGAGAGGAGTTTAAAGCTGGGGTGATTCTGCCCCCGCCGATGGAGGCCCAACCAGAGATGCAGACAGGGCAGTTCTGAAGTCCCCAGTGAGGACACTTGGATGCACAGGCCCCAGCCAGCTCTTCAAGACTGTGGCTGTTTGGTAGAGGAAGGCACAGCTGCCGGCCGAGGACAGGGAGGGAGTGAGTTGTTCAGGTTCAGGGTCACCTCCCATCACTAGGGGTCTTAGTCCCACTTGGGGCTCAGGGGCGGCCTGCTCCTCGTTACAGCTTCTTAAGTGTCATTGGGCACCTGCTTTCAGCTGGCACATCGGGGCGCGCACGCGGTGGGTGCAAGCAGAGAGAACATGAGGAGGACAGGAGGGGCGAGCCAGCCCTGCAACCCCAGTCCCTCTGGGGTCTCCCATGTGCTGCAGAGGTCACATCTGTGCAACCTGATGAGGGGGACGGCAGGCGCCATATACTTGAATCCACCTGTCAGACTCCCTGGGCTCTAGCTGTGGGGTTTGGGAGATGCCTGGTCAGAGTCAGGCAGAATCCCTTCTCCATGCTCCTTGAAGAAAAAGAAAAAAGAAAAAGCGCTATCCTTCTGTGGTCCCCGCTCCTAGCCCTGTTCAGAGGCAGAGGGCAGGACTCATTGGCTTCCCTGATCAGCACTGTGGTTCTAAGTTTCTGGAGCAATATTTTAATCTCTTTGCGCATAACAAGGGGCAGGGCCACTGCTTTGCACAACTCCAGGGGCATCCTCCAAGCTATGTTCTACATGAGGTTTTGCAAATCAAGACGGTGACGTGAAGAGCGCCCCCCGGAGGTGGCAGGAGGCCTGGGAGAGCCAGAGGTCTGGACCTCTCCAAGCCTTTAGCCCGGGACGCGGTGATGCTGGTGACAGGCAGCAGAGGGCGCTGTTGGCGTGTATACGGATGAAGAAAGAAGTATTTGGGGAAGGTTGTACTCTGTGGTTGTTGCGATTTTCTTTTGGGGCTGTTGAACCCTGTCTTGCTCAGTAACATTGACTGATTTTTGCTATTGTTTATTTTTGCTTCTCGGGTCCTGGACTCTCCTTTCTCCAAAGGGAATAAAATTCAGGGGCCCAAGAGGAGATTACTGTATTGACTAATGCTGCGAGTAGAGCGTCATTTGTTCTGGGTCCAGTGGGGGCTTGAAGCATCAGGAGAGCCCACCCGTCCTGCAGAGGACGTTCCAAGGCCTATTATGATCTGAACTGCACGCTGAGGGGCCAACAACTCCTTGTGTCGCATTTACTAAGGTCCTTTAAAGGCCATGTGTCCGGCATGTCACGGGTCCCACAGCTCCTCGAAAAGGGTTCAGGGCCTGGGGGGAGTAGGGGTCTGGGAGCAGGGATCTGGGTCCCCTTGTCGTCACCAACTGGGTCCTGGGAGGAGCCAGGCAGCTCCCTTCCTCCGAGGCACAGTGCAGACAGGGCAGGTTCTCTGCCCTCGGGGCTGGGTGCAAGTGCTGGCTCTGTCAGCAGCCGGCTCGGTGTCCTTGGGCAGGTTCCTTGACATCTCTGAGCTTCATTGTCCTCTTCAGGAAAAATGGGAATTCTAATAGCGCCTGCCTAAGAGACCTGGTACAGAGGAGCATTTTTCAAAAGGGGGTTATTTTGTGAGTGGAGGGGTTTGGTGAAACCAACAGGAGCTCAGCTGAATTCCTGTCCTATTTATTAGCTGTTTGTCCACAAACAAGCACCTCGGTCTTTTTGAACCTCATCCCTTGCCTGTGACGAGGAGCTCAGGCTCGCCCACAGAGC